ATGAATTACAGCTGACCTTTTATAGCTGCAGCATCTGCTGGGCACTGCCGTAACCTCCTTTTCATGTGTGTGCTCCTTTCCTCCCCATTTCATCAGTTTTTTTTCTTTTCTTCCCCTAGTCTTGGGCTACAAACTTGGCAGAGCTTTCCTCCTCTGATTTGCTGGTGGCTCGTCCTAGTCAAAGACAGATGGTAAACAGTATTGACTTGGTGTGAAAAACAAGCTGCCTTCCTGCTAATTTGATTATCAGTGTAAGGTGTGATGCGTTGTTCTTGTTATGACTTCTCTGTCTCTTCACCAAAGTGACAATATGGCTTCTGTAATGAGCTCACATTGCTGTGTTGAGAGAGCCTGCCTGTAACGATGTTGACAGCTACTCTGATCAGATACTGATGACTGAATTGCACAGAGAACCCCCTGTTGGTTTACAATTGCAATGTCTCCCCTTATCCAATTACACAGACTGAATATTAATATTTTTCTCAGCATCTCATTATGAAGAGAGACAACCTTTTGCAATTATAACTATGTATCTGGCAAGAAATCTATTAACTTAATGAACTGATCACTAAGGAGAAGGACATTAATTCAGGAAGCAGCGGTTGCTCTTTGGAAAGTTATGCTGCTTAAGTGATAGACATGCTCAGGGCAAGGAGAAAAGGCAGTTGCCAAATAAGGGCTCAGTGGCTCCTGTTTTCTCACTTTCTGCCATTAATATCCTCAACAAGTCAATTGCTAATACTTGAGAATGCAGCAACATTGCTCAGAATAAGCCTGTCACAGCTGATCAATTTTATACAAGTGCTAAGGTTAGCTGAACTTATTTGGAAGAGACATCTAAGGCCAAGAGTAAATTGCTGCCTAAACCGTCTACTCTAATCATACATCCCAAATTGACATTTCAAGTGTGTTCATTTTTACTTTTATAGGTATGTCCAAATAAAGTGTTTTAGATGCTCTGGGCCAGTAAGAAGCAGAAAACCTGCTACCAAACCCCAGGGTTTATTCAAAACACAAACTACTGTTCAAACATGAGAAAAATGTAATCAATCTATGTGTAATACTGTGTTAATGTGAGTAAAATGTTAGTAGTCATTTTTTAGTTTAGTGTCCTCTCCCTTCCTTCTTATTTTCTAAGAATCCTCTTCCAGAGCTTTTCACTTAGTAGTCAGTTAAACCCCAATGGTTACTGACTTTATGTGCAGTTACTCTAGTTACTCTAGTTGACATAGCTCTGGCCTCCAGTACTACTGTGAGGAACCTTGGAGTCATTTTTGATCAGGATATGTTCTTTAAATCACACAGAAACCAAGTCTCTAGAACTGCCTTCTTTCACCTGTGCAACATTGTGAAAATCAGGAGCATCCTGTCTCAAAGTGATGCTGAAAAACTGGTCCATGCATTTGTTACTTCCAGGCTGGACTACTGTAACTCTTTACTATCAGGATGTCCAAATAATTCCCTAAAAAGCCTCCAGTTAATCCAAAATGCTGCAGCCAGAGTACTGACAGGAACTAGCAAGAGAGATCATATCTCTCCCATATTAGCTTCTCTCCACTGGCTCCCTGTAAAATTCAGAATAGAATTTAAAATCCTTCTCCTAACATACAAACCTCCTAATGACAAGGCTCCATCGTATCTTAAAGACCTCATAGAGCCTTATCATCCCAGCAGAGCACTTGACATGTGGGAAGGTTTAGTATGGACACGTATCGAGGCTTGTATTGTTTATGGTGACTGATGTCATCAATGATGTTTGCAGCCTCGCTGTGTGTAGTGTTTCAGAAAGTGGTTTGAATTTTGCCATGATGTATTAATAGTTATAAAGCCCAAGGAATCTCCACACAGTTCGTGGGTAGTGTGAGTTGTGAAAGTTCGGAAGTTATGTATTTCCAAAAAGAGGAATCACTTAAACCCCAACACTTCTGAACAAATACTGATTTTAAATAAAAATGAATAGTGTCCCCTTGCATCACTTGCACAATAGACTCCTAAACAGCTGAGCTGACAGGAGTTTATTACCAGGAACTACATCATGTAATTCCATCTGTACTGTTTACATTCTCAGTTTGCACAAGCACAATTGCACATTCACTGCTGACTATTGCACATTTTCTGTTTATTATATTTTTATTATATTTCTTTCATTTGCTCTTTTAAAGTACCTTAAATTTGGTGTTACTTATTTATCTACTATATTTCACTTGTATTGTGTGGTATTCATGTGAACAGCAAAGTAAGAATTTCATTGTACAGGAAAACATTTTTCCTTACTGTGATATGACAATAAACACTTTGACTTTGACTTGACAAGCACCCTCACTGCCCTTCTCTGTTCACAAGCATATTCACTTTCTTCTTCCTTGTTAACACTGCCACAGTTTGGAAACATAATTGCTCCCTTGTCATTATTATATGACTTTTTCAACTGAAAATGGATTATTATCTTGTGCTCACAAGAGGATAATGCATAGTTAAATGGCAGTCATTATTCCCATGCCCAAACTGTGGCGAGACAGCTTTGAGAGCATCACATAGAGCTAAAATAACTATAACACATCTGCCTGTCTTACAGTCCTTGACCAGCAGGGGGGTTTGTGAGCACACGAAGCCTGAGAAATCAACCCTTTTGTGAACCAATTGGCCGGAAGGCTTCAATACTTCAGGAAGCTTCATCTCGCCATCACTACTGGTCAGGAACCGAACAGTAAGGCAGAGGACACAGCTTTTAAAGTTCCAAAGAACGAGGGCTTTTTAATTCACCCAAAAATAAGGAAAAATACAAACAACATCAATATTAAATAAACTGGGCCCTAAAAGAGGTCAACAAAAGATAAGGAAACTCAACATACAGCAAACTAAAGGCACAGTACCAGAAACAAACAAACAAACACACACACACACACACACACACACAAAAACCCAGCTGACCTAACAAATGACACAAATGGGGAACATATATGAACATATATACTGGCTGGCCAAACCAATAACACACACGGAATGGACAAAGACACTATCAAAATAATCTACCAATAAACACTGCACAGTCTGCTAACAACAAAATATTTTTCTTTAAATGTAAAAATAACATGTCAAATAAAGTTTTAACATAAACTACAAACAAATAACTATATTTCTCCCAAACTCCCATCTTTCTTGTATTGGGCACTTGGTGCAGTCCAGGCTTAGTGGTATTTAAACCTGCTGTTGCCTCAGTCCATCTTTTTGTCAGGACCACCCCTATCAATGGACCAGGAACACGGTAACTCAAAAAAGAAAGTTTACACATATCAACAATACAAAATTAACCAAATGTGCATGTTTCATTGATTAATTGTGTATGTCCTATGTATGTACGTGCAACTTAACTCTACACACATGAACAAAGAAAACAAAAGACCATTACCTAGCTAATTCTACTGCTGGTGGTGGTTTAGGCCCTCACACGGTGAAGGTCAGGGCTGAGGCCTTCACAATGCTATTCTGTTCATCCCACATGACAGGCTCATGACAACTCAGTCTCAGTTTATTTATTTTTCTATTTTGTTAACCAGCCTTTGCTGCCATGTTTCCTGTTTCCTTGTTGACACTGATGCTTCTGAGCAATAATCATTCATTCAAAACATCTGTGTACCCTTGCTAAAAGAGGCACACACAACACTGAAACAAGCTGATGTAGAGCTCTCAAAGCCGCTCATTTACAGCATGTTTGTGTTGTAGAATCTGAACAGGAAACGGCAGTGCTCTCGACTGATTACAAGACTGAGACACAAGAATGGTGTACCTAATTTACATGTGTTTGTTTCTCTTCTTCCATAGTTGTCTGTCTGCACACACCTGAACCACTGATATATATTTTTTTGTCCTGTTAGAGCAGTTTTGGTATTTATAAAGAATTATGACAGTGTGTTGCACTCGTCCTCGTTTTATGCAGTGCATCAGCTGTTAGCTCCTGTGTTTGTGAAGCTTTGATGGTCACTTTTTGTTTGAAAAACATTTCAAAACATCATTTTGAATCAGAAAATGAGTCAGAAAAGCTTGAAGTTCAGTTTTTCTGTGTTTTTATTTCCATCTTCTGGAAAGAGAATTAAAAAATGCACAGAATACTGTGGTTTTACACCCACATGACCTCAGTTCTGGTCTGTCCTGCTGCTCCTAATGAAGACGTGCCTGAGTAAATGAGGACGAGTTGAGCCTGACTGCTCCCAGATATGAAATGTGAGCCCCTAATGGAAACCGGGCTGAATTAGTAATGGAAAGCAGAGATGGCTCAGCTGTGCCTGTGGAAAGGGAAATAAAAGCTTTTTGTACCTGTCTCTCTATGAATCCCCTTTCTCCAACTTGCAGTGCTCAGTTCAATCATATATTTTAATGAATTTTTAGGAAAATCTCACCTTGATCTGCGGTTATTTATTTAATGTTATCAAATATAAGCTTGGATTTGTGGCCGAAGGCTTAGTGACGTGTTTGATATTAAATGTTTTTTCTGTTCAAGATCTGTCACTAACTCAAATGCGTGAGGTAATGAAATATTGATTAATTGTGATGGAAGTATGAAATGAGATTAGTGTTTACTTCCTCTGTTACATCTTGGTAGGTTTGCCTTTGGCTTCTACAAACCTGCAAAGCGAGTCTGTATGATGGTGACATACAGCAAACAGTGGCAAAAATCTGATGGCTTTATAGTACATATGAATTTCTTTTTTAGTGCATTTTTCAGTTAGTGAATGAGCTCTAGTGTGGTTGTGACATTCAGTTTAAAGTAAAATGTAATAAAATCTATCTTTGCAGGCCAGTGACTCAGCAAGCACCAGAACATCTTGCATCTTGGAGTGTATGGAACAGGTTTTCTTGATCATTTGTTAATAAACATTGCAGGCTTTCCCCATTTTTAACTGACAGTGGTCAGCGCTGTGTGTTGAGTTCTTGGTGCACACCTGCCACAAAGTGCATTCAGGTCAGTAACCATGTCTGCATTTGTCTCTTTCTTTTCCCAGATGAAGTCAACAGAGGTGGACCAAGGACTTTTCACAGACAGCTACTGCAAAGTGTGCAGCGCTCAGCTCATCTCTGAATCCCAGAGGGTCGCCCATTATGAGGTGAAGACACCCCCCGACTCGTATACACTACACATTTGTGAAGTTAATGAAGAGCCTAAGGCTACACTGTTCTTTCCTGAGACATTTGGCTCATCTACACTATACACCTGAGCCCAGCAGCATACATACCATCAACAAACACACAACACACCTGACTTTTCCCTGCTGAATTTTCACTTAACCTCAGCACAAAACTCTACTGGCAGTGAATGACTAATAGAAAATGAACTTTTGGTGTAATTACTTTATCTCAAGTGATGCTCATGGATTTTCTACAATGAGATACCACATATAGAATTGTAACTCCACATGACTGTGCTATTTATTTTGACACATTAATATAATTGCAGTAAACAAGCAAAGTCATTACTGAAGAACTACAGTGTTTTTTTCTGCTGTTTGGCGCTCGTATCTTTCTTTGTATTGCAAAATGGGTAAGGCTGCAAACATGGCAGCTCTTCCAGCAGTGTGACGAAGCCAAAATAATCCAAAAACAAAATACTGAAATCAGTTTTATTTACAGACAAAAAAAAATCAAATCCTCACACTCAAGGCCAGGATTGTGACAATACTTGTGAACCCTGCAGCTTCACTCGGAGGGCAGATGATGTGTTTGCATTTGCTGTGGCCATTGATGCTCAGTAAATGCCTTGCACCCATATGCTGGTGGTTCATTTTCTACTTCTGCATATGTTAAACTCAGATGATACAATCTGAGTGAGTGAATGTCAGGTGTTTTAAAGTCAACTCTGTTGTTGTCGGATGTTTTCTTTTTGACCAAGTTTAATGAGCTTTGGTGTGTTTACTTTATTTTTGTAGCTGTGTTGTGAATGATCAGTTATAGACTAGTGTTTTCATTACACTTATCCTTTTCATACCCTCTAGGAAGCATGCAGCTGAACTGGAATTATCTCCAGATTCAGTTGTTTGGCTTGAGCTGAGTTAATTTTATGTTCATTACAACCAACTGTTAGGAATATGCCCAGGTTGAGCTCATAGTGCAACAGGAGAGGCACGACAGTATTAAGTACAACATAACAATAACACCATATACAGTACATAAAGACACTTGGGCCATTTTGATTTACTCAGGGTGCAGGCACTGCCATAAAGGCTAAAGTCAGTGAAGAAAAGTCTCTGTGCATGATTGGCTGCAGCCATGTCGTAT